TAAAAAATTGAAACCACTTGGTAAGAATCTCGGCGAACAACGACTGAACGATGTTACACTATATCGGCGTTCCTTAGTTGAATTGTTAGAGTTATTTTAACGAATATTAAGCGCTTATTAACGGTAAAGAAAGACTGTACCTCTATATTCCACGGAACCTATAATGTTAAGGGACGCCAACGAAAGCACCCTTTGATGGTTCTAAAATAAGACAAAATTTAAAATACAATAGAGGGTATTCTTTTTAACAAATGGGAGAATTTTATGCAAACACAATTTTTACGGACTTTTTAAAACCAAAATTTTAAAAAATTATGTTAAATTATTCACATAATTAATACGTGCCTAGTTATAATTTTTAAAGACTGATTAATTGCCTGTATCACTTCCCCCCCCCCTTTAAAGAAAGGTTGGTGTTCGGTAAATGTTGCTCAAATCGGTAGCTGGGGGTGATTGAAAAAATGTAGCCGTTTTTTTCACTATACGCCCATAAATTTCCCTATACCCATGTGAGATCGAGTGTCTACCTTATAAATTTATTACAGCCGGATGACTGTGTTGGACACACAACTTCTCATGTTGTTTGGTCCAGTGTCGCAACACATGTGTTCGTTTTGTTTGTTGGTGTGTCTTGATTCATCATATACCGTGTTTACTATTGCACGTCATAAGTATTGATTAAGGGGAACAGTTGGCAGGTATCAATTTAAATAATTTAAAGTCAGTAAAAGTGTTTAGGCGTGTGTGATGGAAGGGGTGGTGGGACATCTTGTGATGGATGTGTATGTATAGAGTGTAGTGTGACGGGCGTGTATGTGACATCTTGTGACTTACGTGTATGTAGTGGGTTAATGTGACATTTTGTGACGGGTGTATGTAGTGGGTTTATGTGACATCTTGTGACGGGCATGTATGTTGTATCTTTATGTGACGGGCGTGTATGTAGTAGGTTTATGTGACATTTTGTGACGGGCAGGTATGTAGTAGGTTTATGTCACATTTTGTGACGAGCATGTATGTAGTAGATTTATGGGACTTTTTGTGACTGAAGTGTATGTAGTAGGTTTATGTGACATTTTGTGACGGGCGTGTATGCAGTAGGTTTATGGGACATTTTGTTACGGGCGTGTATGTAGTAGGTTTATGTAACATTTTGTGACGGGCATGTATGTATTGGGTTAATGTGACATCTTGTGACTTACGTGTATGCATTGGGTTAATGTGACATTTTGTGACGGGTGTATGTAGTGGGTTAATGTGACATCTTGTGACTTACGTGTATGTAGTGGGTTAATGTGACATTTTGTGACGGGCATGTATGTAGTGGGTTAATGTGACATTTTGTGACGGGTGTATGTAGTGGGTTAATGTGACATCTTGTGACTTACGTGTATGTAGTGGGTTAATGTGACATTTTGTGACGGGTGTATGTAGTGGGTTAATGTGACATCTTGTGACTTACGTGTATGTAGTGGGTTAATGTGACATCTTGTGACTTACGTGTATGTAGTGGGTTAATGTGACATTTTGTGACGGGCATGTATGTAGTAAGTTTATGTGACAATTTGTGACGGGCATGTATGTAGTAAGTTTATGTGACAATTTGTGACGGGCATGTATGTAGTAAGTTTATGTGACATTTTGTGACGGGCGTGTATGTAGTAGGTTAATGTGACAATTTGTGACAGGCATGTGGTTTATGTGACAAACCACCTGTCCCCAAGCTTCCACCAAACACGTAAGACAGTTGTTCGGCAGTATTTCGTTAAGACCAGGGGAAAACACATTTTATTTTTATTACTCGACCCCCCTCCCCGCACACCCAATGACCCCCATCCTCCGCATAACCCCCCCCCCCCCCCGACCATTTACGTCTCTTCAACCGTCACATCCTCAATGCCATCGTTTGAATAATGAGAAAAATATAATCACAGTTGAATCATCTGACGCTGCCAGATGCCCGTCTCTGTATATTGAACCTGCCTCTCGCTAGATGATCAACGCATGACACACACACACACACACACAAAACCCTAACAATAACAAGATAGGAAGGATTGATGTGTTAACGGTGTTACTATGAAACTTCTAAATAATGGTTGAGTGTAGTTGTATATTATGAACAGGCTGTTATATTGTGATAGATTTATAGTTTTGGTCAGATTTGTACATCTATATTTTTTATTTCTTATATTTGTTGTGTTGGTGTTTAGCTTAATATTATCTACGAGAAAAATGGCCCGTTGAGGAAGGGTACAACGGGCGCTAGGCTGATAGTGCTGTCTCTTTTCTCTAAACTTAAACCAACCCACAACCCCCCACACACCACCCCCCACCCCACCACCCCCACACACCACCCCCACCACCCCACACACACCCCCCCCCACACCGCCCCCACCCCCCCCCCGCCCCCCCACCCCGCCCCCCCCCAAAAAAAAACATGTCTACCGTCCCATTCAACGAAATATAATTATATACTTTTTCCAGTGTCCGCCCCCTCCCCGAAAATTCTACCCCCGCCCCCGAAAATTTCAAGTACCCCCACCCCTCTCCGGGGAGGAAAAAGTCTGAAAGAAACACTGGTGTCGCGCTTAGCCACTACCCGAAGAATTGCATTAAAGAAATTGCAAGAAAACCAATTTTTAGATTAGACACACTAATTAGGCGGTAATTTTATTATAGAGTATCGATGAGGAAATTTCTTTTGAGTTGGGGAGGGGTGGGGCTCAGACGTTCTTACGCGGAGGGGGGGTGGGGCTTCGCCCCTACCCGAAGAATTGTATGCAAGAAAATCTTCACGCAAGCCATTTAGATTAGACAAAATTTCCTTTGTATTCAATGTTTACTCTCCGGTTTGAGATTATTTTCTACTCTGTGCTAAATGTGTCGACGTCATACTTCGTTTTTCGAATTACTATGCATGTTTTTAAATTGCTTGTCTTTTCTCTAGAGCGTTCTTGTCAGACAGATAGATACATAGAGAGACAGCGAAACTATTATTATAGACGAGAAAAATGGCCCGTTGAGGAAGGGTACAACGGGCGCTAGGCTGATAGTGCTGTCTCTTTTCTCTAAACTAAAACCAACCCACCCCCCCACACACCAACCCCACCCCCCACCCCCCCACGCACACCCCTCCACCCCCCCCCCCCCCCAAAAAAAAACATGTCTACCGTCCCATTCAACGAAATATAATTATATACTTTTTCCAGTGTCCGCCCCCTCCCAGAAAATTCTACCCCCCGCCCCCGAAAATTTCAAGTACCCCACCCCTCTCCGGGGAGGAAAAAGTCTGAAAGAAACACTGAAACCAACCCACCCCCCACCCCCACTCCCACCACCCCACCCCCACCCCCCAAACACCGCCCCCCACCCCCACCCCCACTCCCCCACGCCTCCACCCCCCACCCCCCCCCCCAAAAAAAAAACATGTCTACCGTCCCATTCAACGAAAATTCTACCCCGCCCCCGAAAATTTCAAGTACCCCCCACCCCTCTCCGGGGAGGAAAAAGTCTGAAAGAAACACTGGTGTCGCGCTTAGCCACTACCCGAATAATTGCATTAAAGAAATTGCAAGAAAACCACTTTTTAGATTAGACACATTAATTAGGCGGTAATTTTATTATAGAGTATCGATGAAGAAATTTCTTTTGAGTTAGTGAGGGGGGGGGGGGCTCAGACGTTCTTACGCGGGGTGGGGCTTCGCCCCTACCCGAAGAATTGTATGAAAGAAACTCTACACGCAAACCACTTAGATTAGACAAAATTGCCTTTTTATTCAATGTTTATACTCGAGAAACAATGACGTCATATTACTGAGATTATTTTCTACTCTATGCTAAATGTGACCGCGTCATACTTCGTTTTTCGAATTACTGTGCATGTTTTTATTTTGCTTATGTTTTCTCTACAGCGTTCTTGTCAGATAGATAGATAGATAGATAGATAGATAGATAGACAGACAGCGAAACTATTATTATAGATTGTATCCGCCTTCTTAAACATATTTTTGTACAAAACTAAATTTTGTATTTCATTTTTATACACCCAAATTTTTATTAAATGCATGTTCTGGTGTATGTAACTTTTTATATTATTCTTGTAATTCCCAGTAAATTCTGTAACACCCATCTTTTTTAATCAACATTTATGTTTCTGTAACATTCGAATTTGTATAACATGCACTTCAGTATAACAACTTACGATCTATAACATTGAGCTTCTTGTTACATGCTGCTTTATATAACATTCAGTTTATCCAACTTTTTATAACTTCCAAATTTCTTATTAACATAAAGCTGTCTATAAAAAAAATAACAAACCTCTTTATAATCTAACTTTGCCATCCAAATCACATGCATTAAACTTCTTTGTAAAATTAAATGTGTAACTTCCAATTTCGTTTAGCATACTACTTTTTTAAAACTTCTAACTTTTTGATTAACATGCAGCTTAATATGATAAATATCAATAACATACAACTTTCTTTAACATACAACTTTCTGTAATATCCTAATTATTATTGTAATACTCACATTTAATACTTAATACTCCATCACATGTTACAGTAAATTACACCCAACTTTCTCTTCTTTCTAAATTCCTTATCATCCACCTACCCCGCCCACTCCCTACCCACTCCCCACCTACTCCCCACCCCACCCACTCCCCACCCCACCCACTACTCACCTACCAACTCCCCATCCCACTCTTTCACACCACCCACTCCACACCCCACCCACTCCCCACCCCACTCACTCCCCACCCCACCCCACTCACTCCCCACCCCACTCACTCCCCACCCCACTCACTCACCACCCCACTCACTCACCACCCCACTCACTCACCACCCCACTCACTCCCCGAACCCACTCCCCACCCCACCCACTTCACCCACTCCCACAATCCTCCCTTTCCCCACCCTACCCACTCCCCACATTCCAACGACTCCTCTAACCTGACCCCCTCCTCTAACCTGACCCCCTCCTCTAACCCCCAGGCTCTGTGCAACATGACCGAAAGCTTCATCAGAAACCGTCTCCGGCGCCAGTTCTTGTTTGTGGGCGGCATCGTGTCCGTCTTCTTCTTCCTGTACATGTTCAGCCTCAACTCGCAGTGGCCGGCCTTCGCCATCATCCCCAGGTTCAACAGCTGCAACCTCACGGCCGGCTCGCACTCCGGGCTGCACAGGGTCTATGACGAGTGGCCGCCCTTTGCCCTTAAACTCACTGATCACGTATGTTTTGTGTTTTATTTTGTTTTTTGTTTTTTATTTTTAATAACTTAAGGTTCAAGCTAATTAGCAACACCACTAGATAGGCACTAGAGTGGAATGCCCAGGGTACGGAGAAAACAAATGATTATATTGTCAGTGAAGCACAAGCCGTCTGAATGTTATTGACCCAACTGGGAGGAATCGCCCAAAAGCGAGTTCAATGGAGAGGTGTGGTTGCGTCCCTTTGCTCCACAAGGGGTCCATATGAATGATGACGATGAAGTTAAGGTTCAGTTTCTTTTATAGCGGGATGGCGAGGTCGGGTGGTAGAGCGCTACCTTAAAGTCTCGAGTTAGGATCTGGGACCCGAGTGTGTCGGTCGTCTTTGAGTCCATTCAGCTTCAATGGGTACCTGACTCACGTTCGGGGAAGTAAGGACGGCTGTGCATAGAGCTGATAATGGTATCTATTTATACGTAGTTATCAAGAAACAGGTGCACTCTACTTCATCTTCGCTTTGGGATCGTCAGGCCCGAATAATGGAACCTAACTTAAGTTTTTAAGACGCTAAGTAATGAAAAAGTAAAAGTTATAATTTTTACACCGGCGGTCCATGGGAATAGATCAGGTAGAGTTCACATGTTTGTGTGATCTCTGTATATGAAGAGATAGTATGCGATAAGGAGAGGAAATTGTCTGATTAGGAGTGAGTTATATGTGAAAATGTGAGAATCAGCTTAATACAATGTTTAGGTACTAGACAATCTTATGCTCCAGCCAATGCTAATTGAACAATCGAGCTAGCGTTAAGTTGATGTATGTTGTATGTATGTTGATGTATGTTGTATTTTAGATGTATGTTGATGTATGTTGTATGTTGATGTATGTTGTATGTTGATGTATGTTGATGTATGTTGATGTATGTTGTATGTTGATGTATGTTGTATGTTGATGTATGTTGTATGTTGATGTATGTTGTATGTTGATGTATGTTGTATGTTGATGTATGTTGTATGTTGATGTATGTTGTATGCTGATGTATGTTGTATGCTGATGTATGTTGATGTATGTTGTATGTTGATGTATGTTAATGTATGTTGATGTATGTAGATGTATGTTGTATGTTGATGTATGTTGATGTATGTTGTATGTTGGTGTATGTTGTATGTTGTATGTTGATGTATGTTGTATGTTGATGTATGTTGTATGTTATATGTTGATGTACGTTGATGTATGTTGATGTATTTTGTATGTTGATGTATTTTGTATGTTGATGTATGTTGTATGTTGATGTATGTTGTATGTTGATGTATGTTGTATGTTGGTGTATGTTGATGTATGTTGGTGTATGTTGATGTATGTTGGTGTATGTTGATGTATGTTGTATGTTGATGTATGTTGTATGTTGTATGTTGATGTATGTTGATGTATGTTATATGTTGATGTATGTTGTATGCTGATGTATGTTGAATGTTGATGTATGTTGTATGTTGATGTGTGTTGTATGTTGATGTATGATGTATGTTGTATGTTGATGTATGTTGTATGTTGATGTATGTTGTATGTGACCTCCTACAGGAGCTGTTCAAGACGACTTGCACGCCAGGAGCGGAGTTTACCATTGCAGGTGTACCCGATCTTCTACCTGTGTGGGCTAAAGCTGAAGCACAAGAATGCAGGTACGTGGTCTGTCTTAAGTGGCTTTACTGACCTAATGAATGACTGACCTTATTTACTGACCTAATGCTTGACTGACCTAATGGTTGACTGACCATGTTTTCTGACCGAAGATTTACTGACCTTGTTTACTGACCTAATGCTTGACTGACCTAAGGATTGACTGACCTAATGCTTGACTGACCTAATGCTTGACTGACCTTGTTTACTGACCTAATGCTTGACTGACCTTGTTTACTGACCTAATGGTTGACTCACCATGTTTTCTGACCGAAGACTTACTGACCTTGTTTACTGACCTCATGCTTGACTGACCTTGTTTACTGACCTAATGATTGACTCACCTTGTTTACTAACCTAATGCTTGACTGACCCTGTTTACTGACCTAATGGTTGACTCACCATGTTTACTGACCTAATGCTTGACTGACCCTGTTTACTGACCTAATGCTTGACTGACCCTGTTTACTGACCTAATGGTTGACTCACCATGTTTACTGACCTAATGCTTGACTGACCCTGTTTACTGACCTAATGCTTGACTGACCCTGTTTACTGACCTAATGGTTGACTCACCTTGTTTACTGACCTAAGACTTTACTGACTGAAGGCTTGACTGACCTGTCACATGACTGACAGTTGTATTGACCTAAATTATGACTGAATTATTACACTCGCCTATTACTTGGTTATATTGACCAAAACGACTGACCATGCTTCCTGCAGTTCTCTCCTCATAATACCATATCTGCACTCCATACATACGTACAAGCACAGTGGTCTGCATCTAATACAAACATGCTATGAACCCCAACCATACATTGTTTAATGACCTTAAAGCACACAACCTTGACCTAAATCCTTATTTACTAGTCACCCCTGTTAATAGATTCGTGCATTGGGTATTGATTTGTGTGGTAAATTGATCTCTGCATTGATCTTTTCATTCTATTATGTTCGTTTGGTAGAATAATGTTTACTTCACTAGATACGGAGATCTAAATACGAAATGTAGGCGGGCATTGCATTTTTAAAAATAAATTACTGGTGATTGTAGTATCTGTCGTCACACGTGGTCACACATAACAAAAACGTCACACATCAGTTCCCCTCTCATTATATCATACCGTATTTCTAACAAATCTCGTCTTGGTTTTCATTGGTTTTACTATTAGAAATATAAAATGTTCGGTACGGTACATTTTCTATTCTTATAGATTTTCGTCTTAATTGCCATGACATTGCTATGTATGGGGTGGTTGTATGTCTGGGGTGGTTGTATGTCAGGGAGGTGGTTGTGTCATGGAGGTGTTTATATGTCAGGGAGGTTGTTGTATGTCATGGAGGTGGTTGTATGTCTGAGGGTGGTTATATATCAGGGAGGTTGTTGTATGTCAGGGAGGTGGTTGTATGTTAGGGAGGTGGTTGTATATCTGTGGGTGGGTGTGTGTAGGGGGTGTATGTGTGTGTGGGGGTTGTATGTCAGGAAGGTGGTTGTATGTCATGGAGGTGGTTGTATGTCATGGAGGTGGTTGTATGTCATGGAGGTGGTTGTATGTCATGGAGGTGGTTGTATGTCATGGAGGTTGTATGTCATGGAGGTGGTTGTATGTCTGAGGGTTGTTGTATGTCAGGGAGGTGGTTGTATGTCATGGAGGTGGTTGTATGTTAGGGAGGTGGTTGTATATCTGTGGGTGGGTGTGTGTAGGGGGTGTATGTGTGTGTGTGGGTTGTATGTCAGGAAGGTGGTTGAATGTCTGGAGGTGGTTGTATGCCTGGGAGGTGGTTATATGTCATGGAGGTAGGTGTATGTCTAGAAGGTGGTTGTATGTCATTGATGTGGTTGTCCCAATTTGTGGCGATAAGATCCATGTTGACACAAGGGCGGCCACAAAACAGCAGGCGGTAATTAAAACACGGCTTGGATTTATGCGCGCGTCGTGTGATCGATACCGCCATCTGATGCACTTTTTTTTTCTTCTAATCCTGCGTTTTATCACTAATTTTACCACCTGGGGCGTTTTCTTTTCTTATACCTTTAATCCTGCGTTTTGCAACTTTTTAGGGGTTAATTATATAAATCTTGGATTATGTAGATTATTTAGGGCTGAACATTTTTACTAGGCGAGGTGGACTTAATGACGTCAGTTAATCATATATGCTAGGTGGACATTAAGACGTCAGTTAATCATATATGCTAGGTGGACATAAAGACGTCAGTTAATCATATAGGCTAGGTGGACATAAAGACGTCAGTTAATCATATTGGCTGGGTCTACATAGAGACGTCAGTTAATCATATAGGCTGGGTCTACATAGAGACGTCAGTTAATCATATAGGCTGGACGGACATTAAAAGACGTCAGTTAATCATAGCAGTTGGGTGTACAGAGAGAGAGAGACCTATAAATATAATGCTATGATAAACTGTGTAGAGTCATGCCCAGGGCAGATGAGACACATGTTAGCAGAACATCATGGCAGACCATCAAGGCATTGTCCGAGCTCACACCGACTTGCGGGTCAAAACCCTGAGCCAGCCACCGCGTTAAATCTACATTGTTGCTCTTCACTCGAGTCGCTTATATGTGTGTATGTATGTAAACAAGGATGACATAGACGTGCTCCTGTCTCCTGAGGTCATCTTGCAACATTTTGAGACGACCTACCCCCTCCGTGTCAAGTTTACCTGTCAGCCTGTCAAACTTTATGTGCAAGTTTTATATTTGAATTGTTTGCTAGTCTCCCCCTCTACTCACACAGCTCGAAAGGTTTTTATAAATACATCTGTTTTTTTTAGCGCAATTTCCATACTGGACTATTGCGATTATTAACTCGTTATTTCTGGATGGATGTGCGCAGCTTTAAGTCGTATCTCCTCCTCAACGAAGCAATATCGAGGACTAGTTCCAAAAGCAAATATGTTAAGCAAGTTCCGAGGATGAACATAGGCCAAAAAAATTCCCAGAATTCCTTCCTGGATTTCCCAAAAAACCTCAAACAAATGCAGTTTTTGCTCCATATCTCGGCAACCAGACCACTTAGCGACTTGAAACATTTACCAATCGATTCCTGCCATAATTTAAACCAATATTGCCGAAGAAAGTTTTCAAAAATATCCTTTCGTTCGGTCACAAAAAATTAATTAAGAACATTTAAACTGAGCATCGTGTAGGCCTAGGATGATATTTTAAACTGAGCATCGTGTAGGCCTACTCGTTAAAATAAAACTATTTCCGTTGATATTTTCTATTACCCCCTACACGTCCGCATATTTTTTTTAAATCTCGTTAATAAATATTTTTTCTATTTTGTTTTGAATTATTAAAACTACTTGTGTTGCATTATTTATTTGCTGAATATATCATTTATCACGATTTAAAATTGTTATGGATAACATAAGGAAATTGCGCTTAAATTGTCACTAGACTTTTTATTAACTTGTTTTAACATACGCCTATCGATAAAGTTTAATCTTTGTTGTTGGTGGAGTGTGTGTGTGGGGGTATATAGTGCATGGGGCTCATGTGATTATTACATCAATATGTGTATATCGTGCTATACCAATATATTTGTATCGTATTACACAGATAAACTTGTATCGTGTTACATCAATATATGTATATCGTGTTACATCAATATATTTCTGTCGTGTTATAAAAAAAATTATAAAAAATTATCCATTTCCTTTTTCTAAACTGCAGGAGCTCTTTGCTGCTGCAGGGTCATTCCCCCTCCCCCCTCCTCCTCAACATCCGCCAATGGATCAGGCATTACAATAGGTAATCCTACTGACAAAACTCACGGTGTTGGTGTTTTCTCCACCAAGGTTTTTAAGTCCCCCGCCCGGTTTGTAAATTGCCTACGATAGTTCCCAGATGTAAATTTTAACATGTTTACGGCTGTTGACAAACGAATTCATTTTAGCAGACGACACCGCCATCTTTGTCTTTGACTCGGGCGGGGTTGGGTTTGGGCCTACTTTCGAGGTACTGTTTGCTGCAGTACCGTCTTATTTTTTATTTATTTTTTTGTCTTTTAGCTTGTTAGCAAGATGCACTTCACAAACTTGATCAACTGACACACAATACAAACTTGATCAACTGACAACACATTACAAACTTGATCAACTGACACACATTACAAACTTGATCAACTGACACACATTACAAACTTGATCAACTGACATACATTACAAACTTGAACAACTGACACACATTACAAACTTGATCAACTGACACACATTACAAACTTGACCATCTGACAACACATTACAAACTTGATCAACTGACACACATTACAAACTTGATCAACTGACATACATTACAAACTTGAACAACTGACACACATTACAAACTTGATCAACTGACACACATTACAAACTTGATCAACTGACACACATTACAAACTTGATCAACTGACCCACATTACAAACTTGATCAACTGACACACATTACAAACTTGATCAACTGACAACACATTACAAACTTGATCAACTGACACATTACAAACTTGATCAACTGACAACACATTACAAACTTGATCAACTGACACACATTACAAACTTGATCAACTGACAACACATTACAAACTTGATCAACTGACACACATTACAAACTTGATCAGCTGACACACATTACAAACTTGATCAACTGACAACACATTACAAACTTGATCAACTTACACACATTACAAACTTGATCAACTGACACACATTACAAACTTGATTAACTGACACACATTACAAACTTGATCAACTGACAACACATTACAAACTTGATCAACTGACAACACATTACAAACTTGATCAACTGACACACATTACAAACTTGATCAACTGACACACATTACAAACTTGATCAACTGACATACATTACAAACTTGAACAACTGACACACATTACAAACTTGATCAACTGACACACATTACAAACTTGACCATCTGACAACACATTACAAACTTGATCAACTGACACACATTACAAACTTGATCAACTGACATA